CATTTCCCTGATGATTAGTGATTTTGAGCACTTTTTCATGTACCTGCTGGCCATTTGTATAGCTTCCTTCAAAAAATCTCTATTCAGCTCCTTTGCCCATTTTTAATTAGATTATTTGTTTTTTTACTGTAATGATTTTGAGTTCCTTATATATCCCGGATGTTAATCCCTTGTTGGATATATAGTTTGCGAATATTTTCTCCCATTCTGTAGGTTGTCTTTCCACTGTATTGATTGTTTCCTTTGCTGTGCAGAAGCTTTTTAGTTTGATATAATCTCATTTGTTTATTTTTTTATCTTGTTGCTTGTGCTTCTGGGGTTTTTTATTCATAAAGCCTTTGCCCAGTCCTAGTTATTGAAATGTTTCTCCTATGTTTCATTCAGTAATTTTATGATTTGGAGTCTTATATTTAAGTCCTTAGTCCGTTTTGAGTTGATTTTGGTATATGGTGAGAGGTACAGGTCCAGTTTCATTCTTTTGCCTATGGATGTCCAATTTTCCCAATGCTGTTTATTGAAAAAATAGTCTTTTCCCCAATCTATGTTCTTGTTGCCTTTGTCAAAGATCAGTAGGCTGTAAGTATGTGTGTTGATTCCCAGGTTTTCTATTTTGTCCATTGGTCCAGGTGTTTGTTTTTATGCCAGTACCATGCTGTTTTGGTTACAATAGCTTTGTAATATAATTTGAAGTCTGGTACTGTTATGCCTCTGGCTTTATTTTTTTTGTTCAGGATTGCTTTGGCTATTCAGGGTCTTTTGTTGTTTTATATGAGTGTTAGGATTGTTTTTTCTATTTCTGTGAGGAATGTCATTGGTATTTTGATGGGGGTTGCTTTGAATCTGTAAATTGCTTTGGGTAGTATGGACATTTTCACAGTGTTGATTCTTCCAACCCAAGAGCATGGAATGTCTTTCCATCTTTTGGTGTTTTCTTTAATTTCCTTCAATGGCGATTTGTAGTTTTCATTGCAGAGATTTTTCACATCCTTGATTAACTTTATTCCAAGCTATTACTATTATTATTTTGGTGACTATTGTAAATAAACTAGCTTTCTTGATTTCTTTATCTGCTAGTTCATTATTGGAGTATAAAAACACTACTGATGTTTGGGTGTTGATTTTGTATCCTGCAACATTACTGAAATTGTTAATCAGCTCTAAGAGTGTTTTGGTGTAATTTTAAGTTTTTCTGTATATATAGAATCATGTCATCTGCAAAAAGGGACAATTTGACTTTCCAATATAGATGACCTTTATTTCTTTCTCTTGCCTGATTGTTCTGGCTAGTACTTTTAATACTATGTCAAATAGGAGTGGTGAAAGTGGGCATTCTTGTCTTAATCCTGTTCTTAAGGGAAAAACTTTTAGTTTTTCCACATTCAGGATGATGTTGGTGATTCATTTGTCATATATGGCTTTTATATTGTATTTCTTTATGTGCCTGGTTGTGGAGGCAGGGGCAGGGCTGGTCTGCAGCTCCCATCTCAAGACCCCTGGGTGGCAGCAGTGGCATCACCACCATTATTAATCCACTCACAATGGCATGGTCTTACAATCTAATTACCTCTTCAAGGCCCCACCTTTCAATTACCAGAATAGGATTTTCCACCCTCAGCATTTACAGTGGGTATTAAGTTTTGGGGGGACATTCAACACATGGTACCCACCTATGATCTCTGGCAAATATTAATCTGTTATATCCTTCTATAATCTTATTATTTCAAGAATGTTATGTAAGTGGAATTATACAGTTTATAACCTTTTTGGTATAGGAGTCTTTCACTCAGTGTGATTCCCTGGAGATTCCTCCAAGTTGTTGAGTGTATTAATACTTTATTACTTTTGTTGCTCCATAGCATTCCATGGTATAGATGTACTACAGTCTGTATAACCATTCACCTGTTGAAAAGACATCTGGAAGTGGCTGGCTGTGCTCTCTCTCTGTAGCCATGCCTCAAGGCATTTCCTGCCACCCAAGAAGCAGCTTGTCAGGCCCCCTCTTTCCAGGATTTCCTGAAACCTCACCCACTGCCTGAGAAGAAGCCCTCTCTCTGAAGGCCCACCTAGTTGCTTCACCCACTACTCAAGAAGTGGCACAGCAGCCCCACCCTTGGCAGACCTGCTCCTGAACCACTGAGTGACACGTGGCCTTGAGAAGTGAAGCGGATCGGTCCCCAGCAGATCTGCACCAAGCTGGCCATGTCAAAGCATGTCTACAATGCTGGCTAAGAAAAATAGCCCAGGAGTTTTGGGGCCATCTCATATACATACATCTTAGTGAGAAACAGTCTGGCTGACATGACCCTGATGTCCATGCCCCTGGTCAGGGAATCAGCATGGTGACCATGCTCCTTGTGAACTAAGCCTGGAGACACTGACATCCCACATGCTCACCCTCCAGCCTGAGAATCAATCCAGCAGCCTCATCCCCAGTGAGCCAGCTCCTGAGACAACCATCCAAAGTGAGTACATGCATGCCTCTGGCCTGAGACCACCCTTGGCAAATCTGTGCCAGAACCACCACCAACCTCCCAAAAATAGGACATTGAAGAACTTGAAGACATAGTGAAAGTTGATGGCAGCTGAAGAAACTACACAGAGTCTACATTACTGCATCAGTCCAGATCAAAGCCATTGTACTGTACCCAATTGACACCTTAGATGCATTTGCAGGTGAACATCTTTCCTCATGCAAGCCACTCTACAAAACTCAGAGGTCACTGTTCCAGCAGATGCACAGATATCAACACAGGGAAACAAGAAACATGACAAACAAGGAAACATGACACCACCAAGGAAACAAAATAGTGGTTTAGTAACTGGTCACAAATAATAAGAAAATGCCAATGTGCAGGAAAAGAAATTCAAATTAATAATCTTTTTATTTTTATTTATTTTTAGTTTTTAAATTTTATTTTATTTTGTCAATATACAATGTGGTTGATTATTGTGGCCAATTACTGAAACCTCCCTCCTTCCTCCCTCTCCCCACCCCCACCGCCTCCCTCCCAACAACCTCCTTTCTGTTCACTTCAAGGAATTGTAATTGCTGTGTCCTCTTCCCTCCCCACCAGGTTTTTCGTGTATTTATTTATTTATTTTTAGCTCCTACAAATAAGTGAGAACATGTGATATTTCTCTTTCTGTGCCTGACTTGTTTCACTTAATATAATTCTCTCTAGGTCCATCTATGTTGTTGCAAATGGCAGTATTTTATTCTTTTTTAAAAGCAGAGTAGTATTCCATTGTGTAGATATACCACATTTTCCGTATCCGCTCATCTTATGATGGACACTTGGGCTGGTTCCAACTTTTAGCTATTGCAACGAGTGCTGCAGTGAACATTGGGGAACAGGTATACCTTCAGCTTGATGAATTCCATTCCTCTGGGTATATTCCCAGCAGTGGGATCCTGGGTCATATGGTAGATCTATCTGCAATTGTTTGAGGAACCTCCATAGCATTTTCCACAGAGGCTGCACCATTTTCCATAGAGGCTGAACACAGGGTCACACCTGGTCCTCTTCTTTCTTGTGGTCACCATGTTCACCATGGTTCTTCTGGGAAGCACCATCCTGCTCTACCTGATTCACACAGACTCCAGGCTCCACACACCCATGTACTTCCTGCTCAGCCAGCTCTCTCTGTTAGACGTTGGCTTTCCACTGACCACCATTCCCAAGATGATGACTGACTTCCTGCAGGGAGGAGGCTCCATCTCCTTCGGGGGCTGTGCAGCTCAGATATTCTTCCTGATGCTGATGGGTGTCTCTGAGGGTGTCTTGCTATCCCTCATGTCTTACGACCGCTATGTTGCTGTGTGTCATCCTCTGCACTATGCTGTGCTCATGAGACGTCAGGTCTGCCTGCTCATGGTGGGCACTTCCTGGTTCTCAGGTGTGCTCGTAGCCTCCATCCAGACCTCCATCACTCTTCATTTCCCCTACTGTGCCTCACACACTGTGGACCACCTCTTCTGTGAGCTGCCTGCCCTCCTGAAGCTCTCTTGTGCAGACACCTCTGCCTATGCATTGGCGCTGTCCATCTCTGGGGTGCTGATCTTGCTACTGCCCATTTCACTCATTGCCGCCTCCTACGGCCATGTGCTGGGGGCCGTTCTCCGCATGCACTCAGCAGAGGCCCGACACAAGGCCTTCACCACATGCTCCTCACACATCACCGTGGTGGGGCTCTTTTATGGGGCAGCCACGTTCATGTACATGGTGCCAGGCACCTACCACAGCCCACAACAAGACAATGTGGTCTCCCTCTTCTACAGTCTCATCACCCCCACACTCAACCCCCTTATCTATAGCCTGAGGAACAGAGAAGTTCAACTGTCATTGGCCAAGGTCCTTCACAGAGCTGGCTTCAGGTCAATAAGATGACCGCATGGTGATGCTGGTTGTCCTAGGAACTCTTCCTTAGATATGAAACCTATCTCTCATTGGCCGTCCATGGGGTGCAATATTTACTATGTGAGCAGCCCCCTACCTCCTCCCAGACTCCCTTTTTCTTTTATGAATTTGTAGAAAACAAACCTAGAGATCCTAATCACTTAAACAAGAAGACGGATCTTTTTTTCAGTTAAATAGAAGAAAAAAAATTGACTGCAAGCATGTCGATTCAACAGCAGAGATGGATCTCAGCTTATGAGTATTTTGCCCACGTATTAGTGCCCTGCCTTATACCCCATTCTTACACATTTCTGCAGAGTGAGTCATGGGTCCAGGATCCAACCCCTGAAATCCAAGCAAGAATGATCTAGGGACTGGTGATGCTCTGACAGTTTCTGCCCTTGATGGCTCTTGATAGTGTCTTTGTTTGGGTCATATTTGTAGTTTTTACAGAAGTGAATGGCTGTCACTGGATATATCCCTTTCTGGTTGTATTAGTCTGTTTGTGTTGGTACGACAGAAATACCTGAGACTGGGTAATTTATAAAGAACAGAGGTTTATTTGGATTATGATTCTGGGACAGTTGCATCTGGTGCAGGCCTCAGGCTGTTTCTACTAATGGCAGAAGGTGACAGGCAGCTGGTGGGTACAAGCAGATCACATGGTGAGAGGAAGCAAGAGAGAGAGAAGGAGGTTCCACGGTCTTTTAAACAACCAGCTCTCATGGGAACTAATATAGTGAGAACTCACTCTTTAATCCCCCTCCCCCAGGGAGAGCATCAATCCATTCATGAGGGATCTGCCCCCATGACCCAAATGGCTTCCAGCACTGCCACATTGGGGATCAGATTTCTGCATGAGTTTTAGGGGGACAACACATCCAAACTCTATCACTGGTCAATCCAAGCATATGTAATTATCATGGTCAAAATTGTTATAGAGCTGTGATGTGAGATGGTGAGGTCCACTCTTGTCCATACATCAGGGCCATCTAAGATTGGATGTTGCCATTTTAAAACTTTTATTGTCATCACCAACAGGCACAAGAGTTAAGATCACTCAGTTAATGATTTCAAGGGTAATGACACATCCCTGCTCTTTGCTTTGCAGAGATATTTGTCTAATGTATCATTGGGTTATGAAGCCGAGCCATTTATGAATAGAAAGGCTCAACTGATATGTCACCCTAAGAATTTTGCATGGCAAGTGCCAATCTATGTTTGGGGGTATGGGTGTGTTTCAGGGGAGGGAGTTTTGAGTGGAAGCATTTAAGTAATTGAACCACACTGTCAAACTCACACTCAATCCCAAGCATTATTTTCAGAGCTAGCTTGGACCAATTATTGTAGGTATCAGGGATAATACATACGGCATGTTATAGGACATTATAGTATCCCAGATGATCTAACCTGGACTTTGTATGAGCAATAATCTTTTATTTGTAAAGCCACCAGAATTTTGTGTTATCACAGCATAGTCCCCCCCCTCCAACTCTATAAATGCATGCTATTATTATCTTATTTACAGATTAGGAAATTAATGCACCTGGACATTAAAGTGTCCAGGTCACCTAGTTAGGAAATAGGGGAGCTGGGATTTAAACCCAGGATGTCTGTGTCCATATTCAACATCATCACGATGCTCCCACCTGGCATAGCCTGTGATAGAGTTTGACCAATGAACATGCTCCAACAAGAGACCAATTGAGCATGTGGAAGACTATGTTACATAACTGGGAACCACCCCCTTAGTTGAATATTCATTAGACAGTGAAACTATCAAAGCTGAATCCCAGCAGAAGGTGGGGCTGTTGCTCACTCTCCTGGAGGCAGCCTGCATTCTGCCTGTGGAGTGTGTATTTCTTTCTTTTTGTATCACGCTTACTTTCAGCTAGTGGCTGCTCACTCTCTTGAGCCAGCCTGCACTCTGTACTGAACTTTAAGTGTGTACTTATTGCTTTTGTGTTAAACTTGATGTGGGCCCTGCTCAGTCTCTTGAGGTAGGTTGCACTCTCTCTGTGAAATCTGTACCTCTTATTCATTACATTACCACCCCCACCACCCTCTGACATGTTCTGTACCTTATCTCAGCCTACAAAGTTAATTCAGTGATTTTTCTGAGTAGCTGGAGGCCACCTGCAGGTTGAGGTTCCCCAGCAAGACCCTCTGCACCTTCAGTGACCTCCTTTGCAGGTTCAGGTGTGGACTTAACCTGGAGTGGCTGGATGCAGGCCTCACCTCCCTGCCCCAGGTTCTGCACCTGCTGCAGCCACCACTGATCATTTAAATGACCCAAAGACCCCCATACCAGTGTCAGAGTGAGAATGCAGCAGAATCACTACTTTTAACCTGTGCTCAACCAGGGGAAGAAAACTCTAAGGCACTTTTTTGAGTGTGTGTCGCTGCCTGGTATAGGGATCTGAGCCGATGACCTTGGTGTTATAAGGCTGCACTCTAACCAACTGAGCTTACCGGCCAGCCTCAACACTTTTCATAGTGTTGTCTAGAAACTGCTTAGTTAGCCAATATCTGTCTTCTGATTGGGATAAGCAGTTTCTAGACAACACCATGATTGGCTAACTACTATCCTCACAACAACAAACAGTAAATTATTCAGAATTGAATCCTCCTTTGTGTTACAGAGTTTGTATTAATTTGATGCCCAGACAAACGGAAATGGAACAGCATCACATGCTGGCACAAACTCTGCACCTTATGCGGAAGAGTAACTACCATCTTTATGACTGATTGAGTCATTCTCTTCACCTACCTTAACGCATGGAACCACGAGCCTTTTTCCCCCATGGCAGTGGATGAAACAGTGTTTCTGAGACTCTCCCAAGCAGTCTCCACCCCAGAGTAACAGGAGTCAGCACCAGGGAAAAAAAGGACGACATTAGACACCTACTGTTCTTACTAAGTAGAAGAAAAAAAGACAAACGGGAGACATTCTTTATATTTACTGTAACTGCAAGTCTGAATAGAAAAATTTTAGGGCTGCGCTGGAACACAACTGACAATTTCCAAGGCAGATCACACCCGGCCCTGGGGACATCCCCAAACTGCCCCTGAGCCTCTCCCTATGCCCATCCCGCAAACTGCCACTGAGCCACTCTGCATGGCCATCCGAGCCACTCTGCATGGCCATCCCCCCCAAACTGACCCTGATCTCATCCCCCTGACAGCCCCCACAGACGGACCCTGAGCTCTTACCCCATGGCCATCTCCTCAAACTGCCCATGAGCTCCCCACCCCTCTCCCAGCCATCCCCTCAAAAAGCCCCAGTGCCCCAACCCACCTGGCCATACCACCAAACCTCCCCTGAGCCCCTTCCCCCCACAATCCCCCAAACCACCCCTGAGACCCTTTCCCGGGCCATCCCAGGTTGAGTGCAAGGACAGCTAGTCCATGGAGGTTGACTGTGATGTCCCCGACCCAATGGATGTTGAGTGCGAGGACACCGAGCCTATGGCAGTTGAAGGAGAGGACAGTGAGCCCATGGAGATTAAGTGTGAGGAGAATGAGTCCATGGAGATGGAGTGCAAAGACAGAAACACAAGGAGACTGAGTGCAAGGACAGCAAACCACTGGAGTTGGAGAGCAAGAACAGCAAGCCAATGGAGATTGAGTGTGAGGACAGAGAGGTAATGGTGTTGGAGTGCAATGACGAGGAGCTAAAAGTGTTTGAGTGCTACAACAATGAGCCAGAGGAGATGTAGTGTGAAGACGGGGAGCCCATGGAGGTTGGGTGCAAGGACAGTGAGCCAATGGAGTTGGAGTGTGAAGAGAAGGAGCCAAAAGTGCTTGAGCGTGAGGACAGCAAGCCTGTGGAGTTGGAGTGTGAAGACAGCAAGCCCATGGATGTTCAGTGCAAGAACAATGAGCCCATGGAGATTCAGTGTGAGGACCATGAGCCCATGGAGGTAGAGAGTGAGGACAGCAAGGCCATCGAGGTTGAGTGAGAGGACAGTGAACCCATGGATGTAAAGCATAAGGACAGTGAGCTCATGTAGACTGCGAGGACAATGAGCCAATGGATTTAAAGTGTGAGGATAGTGAACTCATGGAGATTGAGTGCAAAGACAGTGATCCAGTGGAGGTTGAGTGCGAGGACAGCAAGGCCATGGAGGGTGAGTGCAAGGACACCAAGCCAATGGAGTTTGAGTGTGAGGACAGCGAGCCAATGGAGGTTGACTTCAACGTCCCCAT